GTTAATGAGGAAACTAGTTTTTTGGGTTAGTAGCCAAAGAAGAGGTGGAGGGTTGGTCGGTGGTTCCGATATTGGGAAGTCTCACTCCCACTGGTTTTTTAACTTTTTTCTTCACGGAACTAGGCTGATGTTCTTGGACAAAAAGATTCTCTGGCCAAAAACTGGGAGAACAAATCGTCTTGAACATCAGCGCGGGCACACGAATCTTGAAAGAAGACGTGCGCCGTGTATAATTATATTTAAATTTAGTTATGTCCTCCACCTTTATATCGGCTTTTGTTTTGGCTTTGATATAAGCCGAGATATCAATCTCTGAAGTATCATGGGCTGCCGAGAAACAAATATATGTTTCGATGGAGGAATCAGCTGTAAGGGTTTTGGTGTCGCAGGTACGAGAACTGCAGCATCAGTCGGTGCCGGTGGTCCGGACTGTGGAATACCCTTTTGGGTGACTCTAATGGGGGTTTCGTTTCCTAGGACCTGTGGCATCACTTGAAGGGATGCCATGGCGGACATATCGGACAATTGCTCATTATCCCTGAGAAATTCGGACGAATTTTTCTTTTTTTTTTTAAGCGGCTGCATTAATGTCGGCTGAGCAGGCTGAGGCGGATCAGAAACAGCGGATTTCTTACGCTTAGGGGACTCATTTAGCAGCTGAAGGCCACTAAACTGAGTGTCCAGCGCACAGAGCTGTTCATTGATTTTACGAAAACCACTGATCAGCTCTTTAAATCCATTTTTGGTCTGTCTCATGAACGACCTCATTTCGCCTTGCACAGCACGACAATTCTCACAACAATAATGTATCCCAGACCTACGGGAAATGGCATCCGAAACTGATGCAGTGAAACCGGCACACTTGGCGTGCACGACGTTTTCACATAACCAGCAATGGATGCTAGGCTGGGATGTGGAAATTGTCTTGTTACAAGACTTAATGGCACAGACCAGTTTAAATTCCATTTTATTTATTTATTTTTTTTTTTTTTTATTTAATAAAACAAAAATTAATATTTAAAAAGTTAAAAAACACAATACCTTGAACCACTGTGCCAAACAAGAAGCCGAAGCGGGAGCTTTGAAAGAGTGCAAAAGAGAAATGCAGAAATATAGATAAGGCGGCGAAGAAGCAGAGCTGAGCTATGCTTGGAATAGAATTTAGGCAAATTATTAATTCGACTCCAAATATACCACAGCACTCGCGAAGCGATACGGTTTAGGCTTTAAGAGGGTTAAGATTCACAAGATTTAATTCACAAGTATGTAAACACCGGTTTACCAATATTTTTAATAAAACGCAGTGCGCACAAAAAAAACACGACCGTTCGCTTGAAAGAAAGAGAGGGAAGTGTTTTAAAATTGGAAAAAATTTTCCAATTTTTTTATTTATGAATACTGCCAATACTGCACAGGCACATAAGCGGATAAACATATATATAAAAGGATATATATATATATATATATCAATCGAAACCATTCCTGGTATTGATCAGATGTCTCCATGCGTGGCAAATAAGATTCGCTGTTTCGGTAAAGCTGATTTTCACAAACATAATAGCCTTATCGATACATGTGATTGGTCAAACATTCTGACATGCACCGATCTTAATGTCACCTTAGAAAAATTTTACTGTTCTTTAAATACATTTTTTGACTCATGTGTGCCACTCATGTGTGACTAAAAATAGACTCTTACTAAAGGATGCAGTCTCATCATCAGCCCTACTATTAGAGGTTATTTAAACAAAAATTTGTTGTAAATAAAAATAATGCGATCGTTTCAATTTTCAAATTTGTTTTTATAGGCATTAAAACCTATTTGAAAATATTTTTTTAAATTTATTTTTTTGTAGTTTAATACACTTTATAGCATTTCAAAGTATACTAGACTTAGAATGAAATATTTTTATCAATAAACAACAAAATAGCAAACTCACAACAAAAAAATTTAAAAGAAAAACAAAAAATATTTTTTTGTAAATAATAAAAAATAAAAAACTTATTATTAAAAATAAATGATTCTAGCACAGGACGTAAGTGTTAATTTTTAGAACAACATATCCAAATTTCAGCTAGATCGGTACCATAGAATTGTGTGAATCACCTGCGCCGCACACAAAAATGTCGTTCCGACGGTAAACGCTACCGAGTAACTCATACTACTCGGTGTTGGTGCGCTCTCGATTATTGGCTGTATCTCTGCCATTATTTGATATATTTATTTGAAACTTCCACAGTACATTCTCAAAATACAATTCTTTCGAAATACGTGAAAAGAAAAAAATCGATTTTTTCAACCTCACACATGAGACTACACCCTTAAACATAAAAAAAAACTTGCAGTATTATAGATTTTTCAAGATATCTACTAGCTCGGTCAAATGTTACCGTGCCTAACGCTTTGTAATACCTAATGCCTATTACAGGAGTTATATTTGCCGCTGCCGGATACAATTCACTCAGGATCCTAAACAGCTTTATAACTTTGTATACATTAAGCGTAAACACGTATCTTTTCCACCCCGCTTACGTTTAAAAATTCATCTGCGACCTCTGATCAGCCATTAGCGATCTATTCGCAGAATTTTTTCAATCAACTTATTCATCGCCTAAATTGGCAGATCAGCCTTACGCATACATTCGATCAGCAAATCTTATTTTCTGTTAATTTTTCTCCAAAAATAGCTTATTATCTGATCTTCTAAGGGTGGTAAGGCTGGAATTTTCTACAGACCTGTTATGGTGGAACTCCAACACAAAGAACAGTGGAAGAACACAAAGAGTCTTATTTAAAAACATGCATTTCCGTTTGGTCCGTGCTACATCTGGCGTCCCTCAAGGAAGTCATCTTAGCCCGTTATTATTTACTCTTTTCATGCATGACTTGCCCCCTGCTTTAACGAACTTTCTAGTTTTTATTTATGCAAATGATGTAAAGCTTTGTCTTCAGTAAAAATCCATCTCTGACCAGTCTGACCTTGTTAACTTTCAAAAATTGTGTTTAGTTAACGATCTAATACTTAATGGATTAAAATGAAAGCATATGTCTTTTTATCGTTTTTGCCCTCTGCAAGCAACTAGTTGAAAATCCGCCTTTAGAGAGTTCAACATCCAAAAAAGAGCAGAACGTAAAGAACGAGCTAGGAAAGGATCTTTTGCCAACAGGCGTAGTCCTGCAAAACAAGGAGAGGTCGACTCGCGAACTCACGCCCAATTAGAGACCAATCAAGAATACCTTGGTCACCAGCCACGCAACTCCCAACTCCGGACTCGCTAGCTCGTATGCGTGGTGTGTCCACTGTGTAGCGAGAGCGCGACGCACGATATTCGACAGCAACTTTCAATCCTGGTACGCTAGCGCGTATGTGCGGTGATCCCAGGTGAAGTAGGGGCGACAACCACAGGCAACTCCCAATCCTGGCGTTAGCGAGTATGCGTGGTGTCCAGGTGGAGGAGGCGGCAGTCCGCAGCCAACTGTAATAAGTCTAGTATTCCAGGGATTCCATCCAGTTGGTATCAAGTCGATTTGTATGAATATTCTTTGGGTTCTTTATTATTGATCTTTATTTTTGGAGCAGCCGTTGTTGCCACTCCAAGCTCCCAAAAGGTTCTTCTCCTTTACAATATTTCTAGGAGTTGGGAAGTCTAGGTCTCGTAGCTGCGCTGCCAACAGCGGCAGCGGAGAGATGGTTATATATTCTTAGGTATATAGCTATGATCGCTTAAGCGGAGGTTTACGCACATATAAGTGGATTGCTTGTATTACATTTATGCTGCATATGCCGTTTCGGCGTGCGGCTAAGGCACAGCAAACGTTTGGAATTTCGGTCACTTAAGGTTTATGTCCCAGGCTTAACATTACATAAAACAAGAAAGAAAAGCTAACTTCGGGCGGAGCCGAAGTTGATATACCCTTGCAGTTAAAACCGGATATATATCGCAAACATCGGATACAGTTGGCCGATCCTTATAATTAGATCATAATGAAACCAATTAACTTAAATAAACAATCTAAAAAATGTCCCAAGCTTCTATCTTCAAATATACGAAAGTGGATAAACGAATGAACTCATTGAGTGTTCTGTGGCTTCGCTCCACGGTGATTCTCTGGTGATTATGTGCAGTCGAGGTTATGTTTTTATACCCATGCAGAGGGTATTATAATTTTGTCCAAAAGTGTGCAACGCAGTGAAGGAGACATCTCTGACCCTATAAAGTATATATATTCTTGATCAGGAACATCTCCTGAGTTGATATGAGCATGTCCGTTTGTCCGTCTGTCTGTCTGTCCGTTTCTACGCGAACTAGTCTCTCAGTTTTGAAGCTATCGTCTTGAAACTTTGCACACACCCTTCTTTCCTTTGCACGCAGTATATAAGTCGGAACGGCTCGGATCGGCCGACTATATCCTATAGCTGCCATATAACTGATTGGTCGGAAATGGTATAACTTTGGTGTTTTTAGAGTTACAGAGTTCAAATTTGACATGAACTCGTGCTACTTTTGGCAACACATTACGACATGCCAAATTTCATAAGGATCGACCGACTATATCTTATAGCTGCCATATAACTGAACGATCGGAAATAACCCAACTTTCGTGTTTTTGAAGATAGAAAGCTGAAACTTGGTACAGAATATATTTTTGGCCAGTTGGTCCAACCTACCAAATTTCATTTCATAAGCATCGGCCGACTATATCCTATAGCTGCCATATAAATGAACGATCGGAAATGGTACTTGGTAGAAATATCAACTTTCTTATTTTTGAAGATAGAAGCTTGGGACTTTTTTTAGATTTATTATTTTAGTTAATTGGTTTTTTTATGATGTATTCATAAGGATCAGCCAACTATATCCGATGTTTGCGATATATATCCGGTTTTAACTGCAAGGGTATATAAACTTCGGCTCCGCCCGAAGTTAGCTTTCCTTTCTTGTTTTTAAATTGTTTTAATTAAAATAATGCAGAAATGTTGTCAATATCAATGGTGTCCTCGACCGAATCTTTATATTTATCAGATTCTGATACCATTTTTAAATATTTTGTTGGTAATGTGTAGTTGAAACAACACATCCCACTTCTTTTGAGTCCATATCTGTAAATGAACATTCATTTTGTTAGTATAAATTTTAGAATTTTAGTTATTAATGTAGCCTACCTTATGGCTAAAATAGCATTTAAAGTTTTCAAATGCATTATATTTCTCATTTTATTTTTTACCATCTGCACTTGGCTTAATACGCGTTCTACCTCTGCGTTCGACCAAGGAAGACTCATAATTTTGAGTGCGAAGTGTGCCAACGGTGCGAATGTATTGACTCCTCCGGCATCTCTGAACTCTAAAACTTCTGTCCAAAACTTAACTGTGTTAGTCGTATTTTCCCATTTTACAAAATTAATTTTCTCATAACACAACCTAATAGCTTCAACATTTTTACATTGAAGTTTTTTACTACCTCAATAACGTCTGGTTTGTTCGTCCGCAGTATCTTATCGACAGAGAAAATGATTCATTTCTTTAGAACATTAAAGTTGTCTGGCAATCTAAAAGCAGATTAAAGTAAACTTAATAGATAATTAACCATATTATATAGTTACCGTTCTCTTAATTGCGTAATTAATTTAATGGCGAAATTTATGCGATTTCTGCAAATTGTTTATTCACTGGATTTAAATAAACCTTCTTTGACTTTCTTCTCAAATTCGTAGCCTAAGACTAAATCATGTTCCACCACGCTTTCAAAATCATCTACTAAAATATCTATTTGAACATTAGGAGGAATTATTTTAGACTTCAAGGAATTAATGCAAAGTATTAAATTGTCCAACAATTTTGTAGAATTAACATGATTACTTTAAAACAACTTATTTAGGGCTTGCATATCTATCAATATAGGTTTTAAAAATATCAAATATAACAAGTTGTCATCATTGCAATATAATTCATGCAAAAGTTTTGCCTTGTGACAACTTGTGGATTGTAAAGAAAAATGTAATTTCAGCTCGGTCCACTGATCTAAAATACAGCTCGTTCAATTGACAGCCATCTGGTATCAGAAACTCTTGGAATCTTTAATGGAGCCTATTTAAAAAAATATATAATTTTAATTATATTTTTAAGAAATCAACAAAAACGGCTTTAAGAAATATTTCATAAAACAACATCTAAAACATGGGTTAGCTAAAACACAGTGGCATATTAGAAAATGACCCAACTTTCGTGTTTTTGAAGATAGAAAGCTGGAACTTAGTACAGATTATATTTTTGGCCAGTTGATCCATCCTACCGAATTTCATTAGGATCGGCTGACTATATCTTATAGCTGCTATATAACTGAACGTTCGGAAATGGTATTTGGTAGAAATATCAACTTTTGTATTTTTGAAGATAGAAGCTTGGGACATTTTTTTAGATTTTTTATTTTAGTTTATTGGTTTTATTATGATGTAATCATAAGGATCGGCCAACTTTATCCGACGTTTGCGATATATATCCGGTTTTAACTGCAAGGGTATATAAACTTCGTTTCCGCCCGAAGTTAGCTTTTCTTTCTAGTTAAAATTATCAATTGAAACATGTTCAAAGATATTTTTCCACGGTGCCACTTTGAGTTGGCAGATTTTGTGAATACCGGTCTGCTTTTCAAGCCTTTGGAAGAACTGACCTAAGTCAAGGGTTCCATTTGTAAAAAAAATATCTACCATAAATATATGGTCTGAAATGTGTTATTGCCCAATGAATAGCTGCTAGTTCTTGTTCTGAAGTGCTCTTGTATCTTTTGATAAAATCGATTCCTAGTATTCCATCACTTGGAATAACGAATTGCAAATTTACGATATGGAAATCATGTGGAATTATGCATTTAGAAGTTTGAATTTCAATAGAAGTTAAACCTTTTGATTTGGTAACTTCTTGACTTATAACCTGTATGTTTATTATGTGATTATCTTTGATGTTCTGAAAAATATCGAAATTTTTCATTAATAAAAGTGCTGAAGTGCTCTTGTATCTTTTGATAAAATCGATTCCTAGTATTCCATCACTTGGAATAACGAATTGCAAATTTACGATATGGAAATCATGTGGAATTATGCATTTAGAAGTTTGAATTTCAATAGAAGTTAAACCTTTTGATTTGGTAACTTCTTGACTTATAACCTGTATGTTTATTATGTGATTATCTTTGATGTTCTGAAAAATATCGAAATTTTTCATTAATATGGATATTTTTGTACCTGTATCTAATAGAAAAACTAATTATTTTCCTATTGCTACGTTTATGAAACTAACAAATGTACTTTGACTGAAATTTATAGTGTGAACTTTGGTGCTTCTTACTGTTGTGTACCTAAAGGCGTCTGGGAGTTTTCCGAATCTGTATGGACTACCCTGACGTTATTGTTACGGTTGTGGCTATTATTGCCATTATTATTGTGGTTTTCACCACGGCTGTATCCGCCACGATTGTTTCCACCACGGTAGTTGTTTCTGTAGTTATTGTTGTTATGGTTATTATTGTTTCTGTAGTAACCATTATTTTGGCTATTTTGATTATTTTGGTAATATCCGGTATTGTGATAGTTACCTCGATTATTACCTCTACCACGATAATAATTTTTGTAATTATTACCGCGATAGTTATTTCCTCAATGGGTGTATAATATGGGTGTATCAATGGAATTGGCATTGACTGTCATTTCAGTACTGCATTGTATGAGAGATTTAAAGTGTGAAGTTTGGTGCTTCTTACTGTTGTGTACCTAAAGGCGTCTGGTGACGGCTTCATTCATTCTTGCGAAATTGCCTGTTTTCAATATTGTTTTAAGGCCGCCATGCTTACAATTTTTAACCATTGTGGAAATGGCTTCCTTGGTGCTGAATTTGGCACCGTGCTCGGCCGATAGACCTTCATCAATATACGAAGCTTCTAGGAGCTTCCGTAGATTGTCTATCTCGGTTGTAAATTTTTCTGCCGTTTGGCCTTTCTGGCTCGTTTTTGACATTTTAGCTTTAACTACGTCGGACGTTTGTCCGACTATAGTATCTTGCAGCTTTTTAATTATTGATTCTATAGTTGTTTCATTTTGGACTCTGTACAAAGTTGATCCAACTATTTTGGATTTAATTACTTATACAGCCAAAGCTTCGAATGTGCCTTTCGTTAGGTTAACTAACCTCAAAGCTGTTATGAATCTTTGAAGGTGTAACCTTTGCCCATTAAATTCTGGGATGGCATTCGATATTTCCCTAATGTATGCCCTTTGGGCAATCGTTTCGTCAACCATTGCGGTAGGTTTTACTTCTACAATGCTGTTGTCTAAATCTGACAATATATTACACAGTGCGACAGTGAATTGCAACTTTTGAAGAGACCTAGTAGGAATTGTTCATTAGGTCGAATATAGTATAAAACCGTGTTTGAAATTTGTCTAATAACCTCAAAATCTTGATTTATTTTAAAAAAAACGGTCGGGACTTTTTGCTCTTAAAAATTCCTAAGCGCGTAATTATAAACCGATTTAAAAATTTTTTTAAACTTTTTTTAATAGTTAAATGTTGTATTTTTTGAAAAAAAATAGATGTTTAATTTATTACCACAAAAAGGATACAATTTTTACGCAAGAAACTAACATTTTTAAAATAAATTAAAAATGTACCTTAAAAATAAATTTTGTTCTTTAATATAGTATTTAATATGTCTCTATATGGATATACATATTATCAATATTTTTTTTTATTTCTTTGCAGAACATATGTTCTTTGCATATGCTAATATGTTTTTTTTCTCAATTTAATTGTGTAATTTAATTTTTTATTATTTTTCATCTACTTTGGCTCATTTATTTTTAATTTCTTTTGAATTCCTTCTTTGAAAAATTTCTCTGTATAAAAATAGCTTTATTTGGACATATTTTTAAAATTTTTTTTTTTCCTCTTTCCTATATTATTTTTTAACATAAAGAAACCTGCCTAGTTTTGTATGGTTTTTAGGCCACACGTTAATTGGGCAACATTAATATTACTCAATGTACAATTATTGTTTATATTATATAAAAAAAACATGTGCATCGCAGTGCAATATAAAAAAAATAGGTAACGCAGTGCATGGGGTAAAAAAAAAATATGATGTGCGCTCCAGGCGGGGCTGGTGCTGACTGCAGGCTGTTGTCCTTTGATGGGGCACCGGTGCTGGCTTCACAGGTGCATGGCTAAAATAACGGAGTGCGCTCTAGGAAGCGCTGTCGGTCTTCTTTTTTGCTCTGGTCTTCTCTGTAGTTGCTTGGAGGTTTAATTATTCGTTGCTCAGTTTGTTTATATGTGAGGGCTGAGTGAGTGTCAGATCGTTTGGGTATTTTTTTTTGTTCATTTTGATTTTAGTAAGTCATGTTCAGCTTGTAACTCTAGCCTTGTTGACATGTACTTGTTTACGAGTGTAGAAACCATTTGAGGTGTGCAACTCTCTTTTTTTTAATTTTGTTTTGTACACCTCCGCGTTTACCCATCACTGCACTTCACTCACTCAGATTCTTTTTTTCCTCGTTGTCTTTTTTTTTTTTTTGTCGCGTCTTGAGTTTGTGCACTTGTATTTTACGGTCGTGTTAAGCTCCTAATTAGCAACCACAGAGTGATCCTCAACTTCTTCTGTTGTGCTTATTGTTGTGCTTATTGTTGTGCGCCGAGTGTACCGAGTCCGACCTATTTACCACTCGAGCATAGTGCAAGCGCTGTGTACGAATTTGCCCACTGGGCTCGGTCTTGTCTCTCGCTTGCGCTTCCACTGCCCAGCGAGACATAAGAAATAAAAGGCTTTTGAAGATTTTGAATTTGATTTCTATAATTTTCGTAATCGAAAACTATAGTTATTTAATAAATGGATGACAACACACCTTCTTATCCGCCTCTTCAGAAAGAGCTGCCCGGATTTGATAAGATGAAGAAAATCGCTGGCCAATCTCCAGCGGAACTTAGAGCCAATCTTGCAAGAGACTTGGCTCAACGGCAATTGGACTCCCTTGGTCAACGAATCTCAGACGCTGTTAAATCTAGCTCTGCAAAACCGTTACAACTACGAGTGCCAGTTCTGGTACCACCACGTACACCGTCGCAGCTTCTTCACATAGCAGCCCAGTTTCTTCAGCAGGAAGGTCTCTGCCTTTAGAAACCAACAATCTCCCGATATTACCCGCTATGGGGTGCTCGTTTGCAGGGGGTGCAGACAAGCAACAAGTACCTCTCGCAGCAGCAAACGAAACCCTCCAAGCTGCGGTAAAGACAGAGATGACGTAAAGAAGACTAAGGGAAATGTAAATAATCCCAAAATTAAAATTTCCTTCGACGTCCAATGGACTGCGCAACAACCGATTCGCATCTTTGGCTAAAGAAACGAACGCAATTGAGGAGATGGAGACAAATGAGGAGACGAATGATCCTATTGGCCAAGCGCAAATTTCAAGCCAAAAACCTCCACCCATATATATTCCAAAGGTCACTGACATCCTCACTCTGGAACGAACTCTTTATGAAATTATTGCAGCAAGTAGTTATAAGATTCGTACATCTAAATTCGGAATTACTCGCATATACACTGACGGTGCAGAGTCATTCCGCAAGGTGGTTCGTAACCTGACTGCTTTAAATTGCGAGTTTTGGCATCATCAACTCCGTGAGGT